ATGAACATGATAGCTGTATATCCTGACAGAAGAACTGCCCTAATTACATACACTGCTTGGAAAATCACTAGTCTTGACACATGACTCTATATCATCATCATCATCATCATCATCATCATCATCATCATCATCATCATCATCATCATCATCATCATCATCATCATCATCATCAATAAAAATAATCCTAATATACTTTAACAGTGTTCTACTCTCCCAAAATAAGGTTTCACTTTAGCAGATCTTTATCAGATATTGCAGTTATACATTTCAAAGAATCTGTTCCACTTTTTATCTCCTCTGCCTCACTGCAGAGGGCAACCATTTAATTTATTCCCCTTTACAAATTGATGATTTTGTTGTTGGACTTAAGCTGGGCTTACACCGTGTTTTTTTTTTTTCAGGATAAATACGTTTGATTCTATTGAAAATACGATTATTGGCAACCCTCTAAATATGATTGGTTTATTTCTGGAAGATGAGGCAGCAACTGAGGTAACTATAGAATTTGAACCTGGTCTGGATTTTTTTGTTCAGGTTGAACTTTCGGAGTTGTATGTTAGTTGTATGGTAAATCCTATTCCAACCAAGTTATTTAAGAAACTAGTCCCTCTGATTTTTGCCTCCATTTAAGATATGATTATCCTATCCCTCTTACAGGGATATGTACCCCAGGCGTTGGTATTAAACCTTTAGTTAGGAAACCATCTCATGACCCAGATGACTAAGTCAATTATAGCTATATCCAATCGTCCTTTCTTATGTAAAATCCCTGAGAAACAAGTGTGTGACCACTTACTCCATAATTAACTTTTTGAAGAGTTTCAGTCTGGCTTTAGAGCTCATCCAAGCACTGATACAGTTTTGTTGAAAGTCACTAATGATATTCTCATGGCCTCAGATAACTGACTTGTATCTGTGCTTATCCTTTTAGAGCTCAGTGCTGCATTTGATACAGTTCATCATAATATTCTTTTAGAAAGACTTGAATATTTTGTAGGAATTTTAGGGAACAGCACTAGACTGGTTAATGATTTCAATTTGTGCACATTAATGATAAATCTTCCTCATGCTCGAGGGTGGAGCACCACAGGGATCAGTGCTAGGGCCTATTTTCCATAGAATTTCCTTTTTCTCTTGAATATTGCAAAAATTAAAAAATATCCTGCCCAGTGGTGATGCATGTGTTACTTCAAGGCTGGACTTTTGCAATTTTTTACTATCAGGAAGTCCACAAACTCTTATTAAAAGCCTTCAGATGACCGAAAAGGCTGTAGCAAGAGTTCTGATAAAATTAACATTATTTATTCATTATTTATCTATTCATTTACTTATTTACTTAATTATCTATTTATTTATTTTCTATCCAGCCTATACCGGAAGGATCTGTATTGGTCTGCTCACTCTGTTGTCAATAATTTTCTTCATTTTATGAAGAAGTCTCCTTTGTGAAATAATCTCCAGAGGTTCTAGAGGAGTCCTAGACCAGAGCCTTTATAAGCTTCTTGAACTAATTAAGGTCATTTGCTCTGATGCAGAGGATGGAAGAAGATATCATACCCTCCATAACAGACTAATATAAGATATGTAGCAGCTTGTTGTAATCACAGGAGGACCTAAACTTCCCTCGGAAGTCTAATCTGCTCTGTCCCTTCTTGTAGACGGCTTCAAAGTTGCATCTCCACTCTAGTTTATTGTCCAGGTGAATATTTATACTCCTCCACCACCTCCACTACTTCTCCCAGGATGGGAACAGGATTCAACGTGTTCCTGTTTCTTCTGAAATCTAAAAATCTCACTTGTTTTGACATTCAGGATGTTATGATTGTTTTTTACACCATGAAAAAAAGTGGTTCACCAGCTCCCTGTAACTCAACTTCTTGTCCATCTTTGATCCACCCAATGACTTTTTTCTGCAGGTAATAGGACTCAGTCTGGTACTGAAAGTCAGAAGTGTAAAGAGTAAAAAAGAATAGTGATAGTAATTTCTCCTGTGGTGCTTCTGTGCTGCTGACTGCTTCATTAGACAGCTGACCCTTCACTTCAATGAACTGTGGTCTGTTTGTTAGGTAGTCTTTGATCCAGGTGATTGTTGATGCCTCTACCCAAGTCTTCTGGAGTTTCTGGCCCTGCCTCTGAGTGCTTTTCTCCACAGGTGTTTCCAGTTGACTGGTGGGCGGGGCATGCACACCTGGGATGGGTTCAGCAGCACCTCACCACGCTATAAGAATGGTGTGCAGACAGCGGGAGGATGCCAGAGTGTTACCAGAACATGATCATCACAGCGCTGTCTGCCTTGTCTAAATGACAGTGGGTTTGTTGAAGCTGATGTATGATGGCATCATGAACCCCATCTCCACTGTGATAAGCAAACTGCAGGGGTTCCTTATAGCTGCTTGTATGCTAGTGGAGAGGAACGATTTAGAAGTCTTTTCTAAGACCTTCATGATGTGGAATGTCTGCCTAACAGGCCTATAGTCAATGATGAATGTTAAGTGAGTCGTCTTTGGCATTGGAGCAAGGCAGGAGGTCTTCCACATAATTGGAAATCTCCAGGGTCAGACTAAGGTTGAAGAGGTTCTGTAGAATCCCATAGAGCTGCTCTGCACAGGCCTTCAGGCCTCTGGGGCGGACACCATCAGCACCTGGTGACTTATTACGATTCAGTTTCTCCTCTTGCCTCTTCCCTTTACTGCTAGAGACAGACATGTGAAAGGTAGAGGGAGCAGCACCATCTTCTTGTTTGGCTGACATAAACCTCAAAGAAACAGGAGAGTCAGTGGCAGAGGAGGGCATGATGTCCATGTGACTGCGGGCAGGAGAGAAGGATGCTGAGCTTGTTCCTGAACTGAACCTGTTGAAAAATTGATTCAGTTCACTGGTTCTGTCCATACTTCCATCTGTGTGATCATCCTTCTGCTTGAAGCCTATGTTATCTCTGATATTGTTCTTCTGGAGCTTCTTTTTCAGTCTCTTCCTGTTTGCCTCCTTGCTTTCTCTTATCTTGACCTTAAGTTGCATATGCTCCTCATTAGTTTCCTGCCTCCCTTCTTTAAGGCTTGTTTTTCTTGTTGAACAGTTGGTTCAGATCGCTTGTGATCCATGGTTTATTATTTGGAAAGCATTTCACTGTTCTGGTATGGTTGTTATCTACACATAACTTTATGTAGCCAGTGACACACTCCATCATTGTATTGCTGTCCTCTCCATGTGGCTGACATAGTGCACCCCAGTCTGTAGCCTCAAAACAACCTTACAGGCCTTCTTCAGCCCCTTGAGACCATCTTCTTATAGTTTTTTATTCTATTTCTATGCAGTTTGTCTCAAGTGGCTTGGCAAGAGAAAAATAACATTGTGGTCTGATTTTCCAAGAAAACATCTTACTTTAGATTTGTCTGAGTCCTTGATATTTGCATAAAACAAGTCCAAAGTTATGTTTTCTCTGGTACAGCAGCTGACAAACTGTTGGAACATTGGTATTGTAGCAGGGACTGAGGTATGATTTAAATCACCAGTTATTGCCACAAATACATTTGTTCAGAAAGCCTGGTAAAGAGATGCTGGAGTCTGAGATATGATCCTGCAGCTACGTTTCAGTAAAACACATAATGCTGCATTTCCAATATTCTGGCTGGGTCCTTGCTAGGGTTTTGAGTTCTTCTAACTTGTTTCCAAAAGATTGCCAATGATGGTTGACGAAGGAAATGGCTTACATTTCATGTTCTTGTCTCATCTCCTTTTCCTGCTCTCCATCCCTTGCTCCTCCGTTTCGACTCAGGTGGTACTTGCGGTAGAATTTAATGCTCTTAATTTAGTATTCTTGGTAAAGTGCCTTGAGATAATATTTGTAGTGTGTTCACTTTAAGAAAAAAACTGAACTGAATCCAATTAATTAATATATATTAAATAATAAATAACATTATTATTTGAAGGAATTTTAAAAACATAAATTCAAAGAGTTTCTGTCCCTTTTACTGTTACCTAGCATACCTTATTACCAGTGGATTACTATTAAACTTTACTGAAGAACTAGAGATGTTACAGGCGTTATGTTGAGACTTTGATGGCTCTAAAATCCAGTTTTCATTCCTTCTTGTCCAAAAAAAAGTTTCATATGAGAGGAAGAGCTCTATTTTTAGCACAAACTGCATAGCATTAAAACATTAAAACTGCCACTTAATTTTGCTCAGTGAACAGTTTGCTTCGGTCAGCTAACTGCAAATCTCCTTTTTCACTCAGTTTTAATTACTTGAGTCAGTATCCAAAACCTACGGGTCAAAAATTTTAAATGAAAGTAATATATATAAGTAGTATATGAGACGTTTTTTAACAGGGTGTTTGGCAAGAATAATGTTCCGCTATACTGGACAGATCAGTAACTTGAAATATAAAATAATAATAATCCCTTAGTATTAGATAACACTTTTACAATTTCATTCATTATTCTTTTACTCCTCATTCACACTCAGTGGTTGAAACACAGCTGCTGTTCTGCAGCCACAGCCTCTGCAAAACAACACAGTCATGCTAGCACATCCATTCATGGGCAAGTTAGGAAACGTGTGCCGTCCAGCAGGGTAAATGTCCAGCTCAAATGAAACGATTTTGGATAGAAGCACGGAGAACCTATTATTATGTTTAGGTCACCTATTTGAAATAATTCTAGCTATGTGGCATAGTGCATCGCCCTGCTATAAGCAGCCATCAGAGGATGGGTTTAGTTTGGTCACAACAGCATGGACACAGTCAGCAGCATGATCCAGGCTCTCTAATTTTATTGATATACAGACTGTCCCACTCAGTATCCTCACAACATTACTGCTAGAACCATTCAGACAGGATGGCTCCATGTCTTTATTCTCCTTTCTCGACAATTTCCCCCATCTCACAGCAAAAAAAATAAAAATCAAAGACTCATCTGACTAGAGAATGCTTTTCCCACCTTTTCTGTTCCTGTTTTCGTTGAGCTTGTGCAGACTGTATTTGCAGTTTCATGTACTTACAGAAATAGTTCCCACTTTGGTCTTCTGCTGACGTAGTTCATATGTTCTAAGGAGAAGATATTTATGTACCTTAGTAGGAACCGCAAAATCATGTAACATTTGACCTCAGCAAGGCATCTTTTAGCCACAGAGCTTCTCATTAGATTATTTGTCTTCAAACTATTTTGTAAAATCCTGAGAGATGGCTGCATGTGAAAAAATCTCAATAAATGAACAATTTCTGAAATAGATTGGCTCGCCTTGCACAAACAGACATTCCAATTTATTCCCTTTTTCCCTAATCTGACACCCAGCCTGAACATCAACAATTCATCACATCTCAAAAGGAAATGGATTGGCTGATTTTATTTTTGTGTACTTTGCACACCAATTCTTTTTTAGCATACCAAGGTATTTCCTTTCTATCTTTTATATGTACCAAGTTTTGAGTCTTTTAGGCTTTACCAAACTCTTCAGAAAGCAACATTAATGACAAACCTTTAACATCAGAGAGCAGACAAGCTTAGCTTTTCTGCCTTGCCTAATGTTTTAAAGTTTCACGTTGACAGAGAATTTGACTAAAAGCATGTGAAATGCATACTAGGTCTTTGGATTCATACGACACCTGACCTGATCTCATGGGGCTACCTCACGCTGAATATGAAGGCGTGTTGCTGTAAGTGCATATGGCGTGTATTAATGTCACGTCGTGTGAATTACCGTGACGGTCTTGATGCGACCACTGCCCCTGGTGCAGGTCCAGCCGGATCTGTTGGACAGGAGGCTGCAGACCTCCCCCTCCATGCAGGGAGCCATCTCACACCACTGACGGCTCCGCACAATTCGCGCTGGGAGGGCAAAAAAGGCAAGAGGGCAAAGAGGCATATTAGACGGACTGCCAAAACCAGACAAAGACTTCCAAATGTCAACTTTTTTTCTGGAACAAACTCAACTGTCCTTTCTGAACTCAGCAGACAGAAAACTTCCCCTTTAGAAGCGGATGTGTTTCAAATCCTGCAATATTTTAATTAAGTTCTTGTAGAACTTACATGTCTGAATCGCCTGTGGTAGTAACCTTTACAGAGCAGATGGCAGTCCATAAATTACTATGTTTCTAATGCTAGCTTTCATTACAGCTACTCTGAAATTAACTTTTTTTTTTCTTTTGACATTTGGTGCAAGTAATTACCCCTGAAACATCTTTCTGGTTAAATCTATGAAAATTTTATTCAACAATTTAGATTTTTTTCAATAAACTGAGCTGTACAATATCTTTTCTAAACATGAAGCAAGTGTGTAATTTCACAAATACACCCAGTTATCTTCCCACATGCTTCTCTTTAACCCTGCCTAATAATGACTAGTGACACTTCCTCTGCACACTGATGACTTTTTAGTCCTTTATGCAAATTTGTTTTCACATAATTTAGCTGTATTCCCAACACCTATAAAAATACTCCCTTAAACATCCTGTGATTTCATAAACGCTTTTTGCATTGGAGGCTCACTAGCCTGTGTTTTGTTTTGATACCACAGTGATTAGAGGGTAAATATTGAACTTATCCATCCCCATCATTATGTCGTCGGAATAAATGTCTTTCCCTAGTTTTATGCTGTTATAATGCTTCAAATGACAGCTGCAGGGTAAAGCCGAAATAAAATTTTCTGTGCAATTCCAAAGAATAGATTAGAGGCGGAGAATTACAGAACAGAGCGGCAATAAAAAGCATTTTGCCGTTCTCTTGTGTCATTTGTCTGCAGCAGACGTCAGGTTGTCGGAAAGCGAGTCGGAGATGTTCTCATTCCCCCCGAATGAAAGCTGCCTGCATGACATTGAATTAGCATTCGTCTGTAGTCGATTCTGATAAGTACTGATTGTTCTTTACAAAACGTGCTAAAGAAACACGGAAAGGTTATCGGCTCTCTCTGGGCCTGACCGGGGCCGATGCTCCTGCCTTCCCACGGTCCCCAGAGGCAGTGCATTGTGGAGCGAGCTAACATGGTTGGCAAATTGAAAGAGAGGAAATACAATTCACACGGAGTCCGTAAGAGAGCTGAGGGTGAAAGAGAGAAAGGAGGAGTGGAAAGGGAGGCCTGGTTTTATTTTTCTAAGAGGTATTCCTTTTTCAGGCATTGTTAGGCAACTGAAATTGGGATTTAGAGTGACAGACCCTCACTGCGTTACAGCAATAAAGGTATGCCATCTTTATTTATCAAGTGGACTGAAAAACCAAACAGTAACCCAGTGAGTATATAGGCATGCTCAAACAAGCACTGCTCTGTGAATATAAAGATTTTCTCCCTGAGTAAATAAAATATATTAACACGTCATATAAGGACCTTTGTTTTTTCAGCCTGCTCTCGCAGCCAGAGAGATGCAGAGGTGGAACAAAACAATCTAAAAACCTGTCAACTCACCGAGCCCAACGAGCTTAAAAAATATTTAAAGGTTCACTACTAGATCCAGAGACAGAGCGGTCATTACAGCTTCATCCTGAACGTGGAAGCAGGGAAATCTGGGGTGACCTTCCTCCTGAAACAGCAACATGCTGCGTTGAAATTTCATTTCACAGCCATCTGTCAGGCGCAACAAAGCATAGATTTATCAGTCGGTTGCAGATGTAGTTTTGAGTGCATTACAGGGCGAGCAAAACTCAATTTCCAGGGCACTGAATAAAGGCTGAGCTGGCAAAGCGGGTGGGAGTGCTGACTAACTGTGAAGTGCATCGGTCCAGTCCGCTGAGCGTCTTAGACCGGTTAAAATGAACGTACTTTGCGGCAAGTCCCACAGCATGAAGGCCTTGAAGGCCATTCAAACTTTTGTCATACCATCATTAAAAACATGATCATAGAAGACTTGATTAAATGAATATCGGAAAAGGAGGCGAATGTAAAAAGCTAAACCAAAAACAAATACATGTTGTGTTCAAATCAGTTTCTGCATCAAAGCTGGCGTATCCATCAATAAAAGCTTCATCAAGTTAGTCTTAGGGAGTGTGAAAATTGGTCTTCGCTTTGCTAAGTACAGATACATATGAAGCAAAATGTGTTTCTGCTTCATTTTTTAGGAAATGAAAATCGTACTTCTTAAAACCAGATTAATGATAGAAGACGAATACTTTTTGGATTATTCAGTCCAGTTCTGGACTATTTTAACTGTTCCTACATATTGTTAGTTAGGCATGGGGTGGGATGCCATGTTTTCTTCCAAGTTCATCTGTTTTTATTCATCATAAAATGGTCCCATTTTTTTTCTGTCCCTGCTACAGAAAAGCATACCCACAGCATGATGCTGCCATCACCATGTGTTACTGTGGGCATACTGTGTTTGAGATGAACAAAGCGCTTTGCACTACATTTAGTCATTCACCCATTCACGCACACACTCATGGTGACACATTACACTGTAGCCAGAGCTGCCCTGGGGCTCGCTGCCACCACCAGGCCCTCTGACTACCATCATTAGGCAATGCAGGTAAGGTGTCTTGCCCCAACAACAGCACTAAAGGCCGTAGCCAGGGCTCGAACTGACAGTCCTCCAAATGCAAGGCAAAGTCCTGCACCTGACGCCACTGAATTGCCCTGAATAGGCAAAAGTTACTCTGAAAAGGTCTCATCTGATCAAGAGCATGTTTTTCCACTGATTCTCTGTACATAACTCTAACCAAATTTAAACAGGACATCTTCAACAATATCGTTCTTCTATAAAGCCTGGATCTTGTTGTCCTCTCACCCCCCATCTATGGATGCCCGCTGCTCTTCCAATCACCTTTCCCTAACAGGCTGTGTTTCAAGAGTGTTCCTTGGTCATCATTATGATACTTGTTCACCTATATTCTCTAACAAATCTTTAAATTCTGCAGAGAGCAGCTGGGTTTGTACCAAGAATAAATCACACATCTGTGGCAATTGGTTGATTTTTAATTCGATTAAAGGGAGCTGAACACAAAACATGTTTTTAGGGGTTTTGTAGTTGTAAAAACCTTTGAAAAGTATGTATCCTCTTTTTGCAATTTATAATTACGTACTACATTGATTTGACTTATTTTAACTTAACTGTGGCTATAGCAGAGAAAGATGTGAAAAGTATATCACACAAACTGCCAAAATGTCACTTTCATCCTTAAGATCATTCTGACGTTCGTTTTTTTTTGGCTTCACATCAAGAATCAGCTTTTTCCTGTTACCGAAGATCCTTTTTGTGTCTCTTGTGTGCTGGTGTCCAGTGTGACGATGGTGGCCTGGTACAGCAGCTGGGGCCAAACAGCTGGCTCAGGTGTCTGGATGAGACACAGAGTCTGTGTGGCTGACACCTGGGTGGCCCGTCCTGTTGCTGTAGCTGTCGGACTAACGTCCAGGGACGGCGGCCGTCGAGCCAAGCTTGTCAGCTGCCAGGGTCCCTGCTGGGGTACAGCTCTGGACCTCCAACTACATCACACAGAAGACCATCTGCACCTCCATGCATGAGAGCCAAGCCCGGCCCAGCTTTACACGGCGATGCCAGACGAGGCTCAGAGCAGGGCGGGAGGCACGACAGTGGCTTCTAAACCAGAAATGCTGTTAATCTCATGAAATTCTGCCACTACATAATGACAGTAACACCAGATTTTCTGCTATAGCCACCGGCAGATTACTTGTATTTAGATATGTCACAAAAAACATTCAAATTTCTCTTATATGACCCCATGAAACAAAGAGGTGAATCCATGAGATCAAACATAAAAATATGATTTCCTGTTGATTCACTAATTGGGTCAAAATAGCAGTCTTTTCCGCTTCAAAAACCGTGCATGATAATGAGCTAACCTACTTAGCAGGGCTTTAGAAACATTAACAGCTTTGTACAATCTCTCTGACTACTGATAATTAAGCTTCAATCATGGATCAATTTGTAGCAAGCAGATTTCCATCCCTTTATTTTTCAGCCTGCTTATTCGAGACCTGATGGTCTTCATCCTTTCCAGTTTAGAGAGAAGAAAAAAAATCTAACTTTTATAAACGTTTATGAAGCCCCACAGTTTTTCCATCACATAATCATTATTTTCATAGAAGTGGGATTTTTCTTCTTTGTTCTTTTGGGTTGATTATTGAAGAGGTTTGGAAAATGTTTTGGAAATGTTTTATTTAAACTTTTTTGGGAGGGAGGCAGGGCGAAATATTTTGCAGTTTCTTAAAAAAAACACTTTTAATCACAGTTACCATATGCATTCACCGTCCACGTGGACCTGATTGGTCCGGACTTAAACAGACCGGACCAATCACAGCGCAGGTCCTGTGCCTATAATGTAGCAGCTGTTTTCTGGGACCATAACAGTCCAGATTGCAGCTGCAACTGAGCTGTGTTTTAATGATGCCCATTATTGTGTCCCAATAAAAGCTGTTTATAAAAACACAAAATAAGTTTTCAACTGGCTGCTGTAAGAGCTTTTCTTAAAAAAAAAAAAACAGAAAAAAAAAAAAAAAAAAGTTTTTGCATCACATCCGTAGTTATAAGATTAGTTCTACTCTATGCCCGCTTTCTATGTTAGTCTAGCCTTTGAGATTGGGCTCTACCCACTTTTTTCCCAGTGTAATATGCAGTGTGCACGGCACATCTAGAAATGGTGAAGAACACTTGCTGAAATTCAAACTAAGAACCAGAATGAAGAAAAGAGATTTAGAAAGATTGTTGGTTTGAGGTTTATGAATCCAAGTTGAATATATGAACATACTCTTGATCAGATGAGACCCTTTTCCGATGAGACGCAACGCTCACCTATTCAGGGCGACAGTGGGGAATATCGGTATATATATATATATATATATATATAATATATAAAGCACTTAGGGTTGTCACGATACTAAATTT